CGTTTTATTACGTTTGGTCACAGGGTTATTAGTCACAGTACAGTAGATTTCTATCGCGGGTGATCACACTGCTATCGCGGATGGTCAGACCTCGCCCCAAAAAGTTATCACGTTTGGTCACTCGATGAAACGATCGTAATAAAATTGAAACCACAAAAGAAACTGTAGAGATTCTGGGGAATCCTAATTTTGATTGCTGGTTACCTCGCGCATGATTCTAGCCTGACATTTAGGGGTCTGAAGAAAAAATATAAACCCTTACAGGATGGCACGTTCTTCGGGAGGCATCAACCCTAAACATCATGAGACAAGGTGTTTAGGGTTGATGCATCCCGAATTAAATCCCATCCGAATGGGTATTAGTTTTTTTTGGCCTTGGGAACAGAAATTACCCTTCGGGTATCACCCGTCTAAAAGTGATACTGTTAGGGACATTATACAAGAAATTGCATATGTTCTTGACGAGTTACCGAGAGCTGTCGCAAAACTATTTCGTAACACTACGGACAAAACTGCGCGCGCGAGAAAACTTTCCTTGAATCCCTACAGTGACTTGAGTAGTTTCAACTTTCTATCAAGGTTTCAACGAGTGATCAAACGTGATAGCTTTTCGGGGCGAGGTGTGACCATCCGTGATAGCACTGTGATCACCCGCGATACAAATCTACTGTAATGTGACTTTTTTGTGATACCCCTGTGACCAAACGTGATAAACCGGGCTTAACTGCGACTTCCCATATAATTTCCTCAAATATTTGGTGTTTACCAGCCTGTTACCATTTGCGGAACGGATTTCGCAACTACTGGTCCGCTTGCGACAGCGTGAAAGCACTAACAGGAAACAGTGGAACCCTTGATTTTGCTGAACTGGATTTTCGCGAAGGTGCTGTGCTGAATTTCGCACTGGTCATTTGCGGTGGTGCTCCCGGGGGTTCATCGACTGAACGATCCTTTCACACGCTCCACGGCTGCAGATGACTGGTCGACGCCAGCGATGCCACCCTTTCCTCGAAGCAGTCTGCAACGAAATCTCCGGGTCGTGTCGCCATCAGCTGAAAGAAATCGCGGTCCGTGCACTGGAAATTGCGGTGCGGACGGAAGCAGCTGCAATGCACATGGCGAGGCGAGCACACCGACCGGCCAGCCACCCTCATTTCTTGCTCATCCTGTGCTCTCATATTTCGACTCATTTCATATCTTGCTCGTCGGTAACTTCAACGCAAATCATTCTCAAACTTAGTCGGATATTAACAAGAGCCTGCTTCGAGCCATTCAGTAACCGTAGCTGATCCGTCTGTTTTTACCCAATTTCACGTGACATTCTCCAGGAATTTACTTCCTAGCACAATGGCCATGTTCCGTCTCCGTTGTATCCACTCATTTGCGCTGGTCTGCTTTATCATCCTAATGGCGCAAGTTACAGCTTCCCAGGCTCTGCAAAACGGAGATTTACCAGCAATTATCAGCATTCGACGATCTCTAATAGCGGTGAAGAAGGTCCAATGCCCGAGAGGGGCTGGAGTTTGCCCATACAGGAGTGTCACAACATGCAGTCAACCTGCCATTTACTGCTCTGGCGCCTGTTGCATTGTAAGTGCAGATAAATAACCAATAATACTTTAACATACAGATAAAACATTTACCAATTCCGTAAAATTAAGATTCTGAGTGCGTTTTTATGCACTGCAATCTTTATACTTTTGAAAATACCTCATCTTTCCCGTTGGAGTACAAAATACTAGAACGACTGTCCACCCATCATTGAATCGTGATGATGTGGCAGGACAACGTGGAGTACCCGTGCTGCGGAGGAACCATGTGCTGCAAGGCGGGCGCGTGCATGAAGAAGAGAAACGGCTCGTACACGTGCTGCCCCTTTGGGACCAGAGCATGTGGAATCGGCAAGTGCTGCCCCAGTAAATAGCTATCTGGCTTTGAGACGTCTCAATGAATGAAGAAGAGGAACGGCTCGCATGCGCCGTGCCATCCCTTTGGGACCGAGGCGTGCGGAACCGGCAAGAGCTGGCCGAGTTAGTGTATTGTACGGCTAGCTAACGGTACTGCTATTGAGGCGGAATGAGCACATCACAAATTGCACTTGACAGGCAGGCGCCGGTGGGATGAGGTATGGTTATGACGGAACAGAAAAACGGGGCTGTAAACGGAACGGATATGAATGTGCTTTCGTGCTGGCTGGGGAACGTCAGATACCAGCACAGGAGATATAGCTGCTCATGGTAGAGGGTGGGTTCAAAGACACATAAGCAAAGCTTGTTCCGCACACATCCATCGAATCATATGTGTACATGGGGTTAACATACCTCACCTGGTCCATCTTAGCAGACGAATGTATCATCCATACAACCAATGAGATACATTTATGGATGGATAGGCTCTTGAAGGCCAAGCCTACAAGGGCTGGCCGAGCTAGGCTGACTAAGGAAACCACAGAATGGATAGGACACTTATATACAGGATGTACAGTTGTGTAGCAGCACGGCTACGGGCACATCTCCCATCGGTGGAAGCTCTTGTCCACAATCCCTCCGCCCAATCTGATAGCCCGGTTGAGCGCGTCCAAAGCGGGCGGCACGCCGAATAGATAGGGAAGGGCGACGGTGAGGCGCAGGTGCTCGTGCAGACCCTGCCCCATCTCCAGCTTAGAGTCCACCACCTGAAGACACGTGGCAGCACAGGATTGGATGGAGTTCTTAGTCTAACAAAGCAATTGTGAGGCGCAGATGCTCGTGCAGGCCCTGCCCCATCTCCAGCTTTTAGTCCACCACCTGAAGACACGTGGCAGCAGATGAGTAGAAAGAGCTACGGAATGGGTTCACTGGCGTGACACACTTTCTGCTCCTTCTGCATGTGTGTGTGTGTGTGTGTGTGTGTGTGTGTGTGTGTGTGTGTGTGTGTGTGTGTGTGTGTGTGTGTGTGTGTGTGCGTGCGTGTGGGTGTGAGTCTGTGTGTCCATGCGCACATATCACATGTATATATGCTGCATTTACACTATGTGCAATTGCTCACCTCCCCACCAGCCATGAGAACAGTGTCGGCTACAACGTCAGAAAGCATCTCAGGCGAGCGGCAGAAGCCCACCACACAGAAGAGACGCGATGCATCAAGACCCTGGAGGAGGGTAGGGGATATGGGGGGAGGAGTGGAGAGGAGTGGCGCGGGGTGGAGAGGATTGGAAAGGAGTGGAGCGGGATGGAGAGGAGTGGAAAGGAGTGGAGGAGAGGATAGGAGCGGAGAGGAGACGAAAGAAGATGCAGTCGTTGTTGCCCTCCTCCCTTCACTTCCCCCTTCGCCCACTTCCTCCCCCCGTCTTCCCCCACCCCATATTCAAAACGCATTGTGCACTCACATTAAAAACGCCCTGCTGCGGATCCATGGTCCACCCTTGACTTCCCCTCCTTCCCCCATCCAACGAACAAAACAGCATCCCCTCACGTGCACTCACGTTGAAGGCGCGGATGTCGAAGAGCGACGCGAGGCACAGGCCCTGCTGCGGATCCATGTATCGCCGCTCCGAGAAGCGGTGCGACACCGCTGCCGATGATGGTACTGACGATGATAGTGCTGATGGTGGTGCAGCGGAGACGGGCACGTGCGCGACCTCGTGGATCTGAAACACTCCTTCGGAGGTGAAGAACGTGATGCTGTTTCGACGAGGCTCCCACGGTGATGTTTCCGCGTCTGGTGGTAGATGGGTGAAGGGGATTCGTAGAGGGGTGGGAGCTTGATGAGCGAGCTCGTGGATTTGAAACACCCCTTCGGACGTGAAAAACGTGATGTTCCGCCGACGCGCCTCCCACGGCGATGCGTGCGCGGCGTCTGGCGGGGGATCATGGACGTGGTAGACAGGTGAGAGGCGGTAAGAGGAGTGAGACAACACACTCGTCAGGCTGAGCTGAGGCTATCTCACGCCGGGCTTGGCATGGCGATGTGCGTATAACGCCTCGCTAGCGACGCACTGGGTGGAAACGAGGGCGCTCATTCGTGGCGCAGCGGCGGATGCCCTTCAACCCTTCGTGTGAGCCGCCGGCAGACGTTACATTGCGCGTGTTTGACGGTGGATGAGGGTGGGAATTCATTTTTTAGTCGACACAAACATCCGACGAGCCTCCTACGTTGACGTGCGCGCGTCTGGCGGTGGACGGGAACAGGGAGTCGAGGATCCGTCTGACGGGTGGGACTTTACTACTATATCGGGCGCGGCCTTTCTACCCATTGTGGTGCGTTGTAGACAAGGTTGCAAACGTCACCGCAGTGGTAGCAAGGCGACGCATGATTTCCTCTAAACGTCATAACGTCATTCCACCACTGCGGTGCGTTGCCACGACGCACCAAACGAACAAGCTTTTTAAGACGTTCTCACAATTTGCTACGACTTACCAGACTCCCAAGGGTAAGTCCACCCCATGCTCCCCTCTCCGCTCCCGCCGCCGCTCCCGCCGCCACCAAACCGGTTGTTCTGCCGGCCGCCACCTCCCTGAAACCACCGGTTGCCGGCTGTCGCCGTCACGATCAGAAGGCCTCTCCGACCCTTGGTCCCGGACCCGCCGAAGTCGCTGCTCCTGCAATATCCATAACCTAATTCTAGTCTGTTCGTGCGATAATCATTCGGTCCATAACTTGAGAATTTCCGTGACCGTGTGCGTTGCCTAAACGGTCGAGATTTGCCGCAAGCCAACGGAACGGGAACGGACGGCTGCGATTTTGCGGACGTGAAACGGGCGAGCATGGCGAAAGCTGCTGCGGAATCCACGCGTAGTGCCGCCAGCGGAGGCGAGGAGCGGCGGGGGAGGAAGGGGACGGTTGCGACGAGAGGAGACGCACGAATGCTGGCCATTGCGGAAACTACGCGTCCTAGTGGGTGTCAAAAACAAAGATTTTTCTTTTTTGCTTCCAGCTGTGGTCTAAGTAGGAACGAAGAATTACATTTGGCTTCATGCAGAAGACGGGGTAGTTCCCGCCGAGCCGAAGGTACGCCAATTACTCCGTGATTGACCTGGTTTACCTTATTCAAGAGATTAGTAAGTTGGGAGAGGAATCGCCATGGCGAGTGGGAGTTCCGGGCAGCGATGGATTGCCTTACGAGCTCCACGACAATTGGCGATTTCACTAACGAAAGATAACTGCATGTTTTCTGCTTTGCGACAGCCCTTGCTTTCTCACCGTCTTCAACACCCGCCTTCCCCTTGCCCTTCACTTTCTCCTTTTTCTTCTCCTCCTTTTTCTCTCTGGCCTGATCATCCTTGTCCCGACTAACCTTTGCAGATTTGCTCTTGCCCAACTTACCCGCCTTACCAGACTCCATGAAGGGAATTTTCATCCTAGGTGACTTCAACGTGGGTGACTTCAATGTGGGTGACTTGGCACGGGTGGGGGAACCCAGAGGAGGTGTGGCAGACGGTGACATCAGCGGTGACGTGGCACTTGACATGGCATGCGATGAGCTGGCGCGCGGCGACGTGGCAAAAGACGAAATCGCCTTCCAGATGCCACCCGAAACTGGAGAAACGGGCGGTTTCTGAGGCGCCGGCGGGGCCTCAAAAGGCGACAGCTGCTCCTGCAGACCCATCGTTACCACTCCGTGCTTTGGCAAACCCAGCTGCACCCATCCCCCACCCACTCCGCCACTATCAGCTGTTCTTGGCCTCGAAAGCCTCCCCTCTTGATCCTCTTCTCCAATTCCACCGCCGTACTTCCCGTTCCCTGCGTCACCCCTCTCTGCCCCATCATCCCTATGTCTGCTCAGCGTGCGAGCAGCCTTTCTCCCATCCACCGCCCCTCTCTCACTCTCCTTGACCCCCTTGCTGCCAGAGCTCATCGAACTCTCATGGCTGTGAAAGCTCTCCCGCCCCGTGATGCTCCCATGCGAGGTGGCTCGCCTGTGAGAGGACTCGTGCCCGTGGCTGCTGCTGCGAGTGGCTCTGTGCGCGCTGCTGTCTGCACTATAACCACCTCCAGCTTCGTTTCCTTCTCTCTTCACCCTGCTTAGGGTTCGACTGGCCTTCTTCTCTCCCCCACCCCCATCCCCGTGCCCACCTTCCCTCTTCACTTTGCTTAACGTCCTGCTTGCCTTTCGCTCCTCAACCTCCTCGCTTTCCTTCTCTCCTCTCTTCACCTTGCTTAGCGTCCTGCTTGCTTTCCTCTCCCCAACCTCCTCAGCCTCCTTCTCCTCTCGCTTCACTCTACTTAACGTTCTACCCGCCCTCTTCTCCTCAACCCCTTCACTTTCCTGCTCCCCTCTCTTCACTTTACTCAACGTCCTGCTTGCTTTCCTCTCGCCATAATCCTCCCCCCCTTTCTCCTCTCGCTTCACTCTACTGAGCGTCCTGGTCGCTTTCTTCTCATCATCTCCGTTCCCTTCTCCTCCTCCTCTCTCCTGCGCATCTTTCCCCTCCCTCTGCTTCCTACTCAGCGTCCTATTCATCATCTTCTCTTCCTTAGCCCCATGCCCTCTTGCTTCCTCCTCTGCCCCTGAATCCCCTCCCTTCTCCAGTTTCTCCCTCCTTGACTTGCTTGAAGGCCTTTTCAGCTTGCTCTCTCCCCTGTCCTCCTCCCTTTTCTCCATCTTCTCCCCCTCGTCCCGTCTCTTTTTCTTACTCATTGTCCTGCTCATTCTTCTCTCCGAATCCTCTTCTTCCCCTTTCTCCATCTTCTCCCCCTCTTCCCCTTTCTTCTTCTTACTCATCGTCCTCCTCATCTTCCTATCCCCATCGTCCTCTGATTCCATCCCCTCTCCTTTCACTATCCTCGCCTTCCCCTCGTCATCCTCCTCTACCCCCTTTCCTTCTCTCTTCTTCCTGCTCAGTGTTCTGCTCGCCTTCCTCTCATAATCCCCTCCCTTGGATTCTCCCCCATCCTTTCCTTCTTTCCCCTTTCTCTCCACTTTACTGAGCGTCCTTCCTGCCTTCCTTTCTTTTTCTTCCCCTTTCCCTGCCACTACACCTAAATTTACATCTCGACTCTTCTCCCCGCAATCTTCCTTCCCTCCTCTCTTCACCTTACTCATCGTCCTTCCCATCCTCGTCTCCTCTCGCTGCTCCTCGCCCACACTGCCACTCTTCACCAGCACATCACCTCTAGCCTCCATCCCTCCCCCCTTCCCCTTGCCCACCTCTTTCCCCTTCTTGCTCATTGTTCGCTTAGCCTTTCCTGCTGCTTCTCCGGCAGACTCAGCAGAAACAGCACCAACAGCAGAAGCAGCAGCAGGGGCAGCAGCAGGAGCAGGAGAGGTGGAACCCTGGTCTTTACCCTTCTTCCCTCCAGCTGCCTTGATCAATTTCCCCATTGATGAATCAAGCCCCTTTAGAATCTTGCCCAACCCACCCTTCTTCGACTCACCACCCTTCTTCGACTCACCACCCTTCTTCGACTCACCACCCTTCTTCGACTCACCACCCTTCTTCGACTCACCACCCTTCTTCGACTCACCACCCTTCTTCGACTCACCACCCTTCTTCGACTCACCACCCTTCTTCGACTCACTGCCCTTCTTCGACTCACTGCCCTTCTTCGACTCACTGCCCTTCTTCGACTCACTGCCCTTCTTCGACTCACTGCCCTTCTTCTTGCCAGATGCAGCACCCCCCTCCTCCAAGTCCCCCTCCTCCAAGTCCTCCTCCTCCACCTCCTCCTCCTCCACCTCCTCCTCCTCCCTCCATTCCCCACCTTCCCCTCCACCCGCACGCCTTCCCTCCTCCTCCTCCTCCTCCTCCTCCTCCTCCTCCTCCTCCTCCTCCTCCTTCCCTGCACTCCTCCCAATCCCTTTCCACCGCAGCCGCTTGAAGTCAACAGGAGACACACTCCTGCTTCTACTACCACTGCTCTTAACCGGCGATACCCCTCTGCTGCTGCCCCTGCCATCGCTCCCCTCAACCGCACCAACCGCACCAACAGCACCAACCGCACCAACAGCACCAACCGCACCAACAGCACCAACCGCACCAACAGCACCAACAGCAGCAGCAGCAGCAGCGGCAGCAGCGGCAGCAGCGGCAGCAGCAGCAGCAGCAGCAGCAGAGGCATGTGAAGCACTCATGCTCTGAGGAATCATTCTTCGTCCAGACCCACTCACACCACTCAGAGTGCCACTAGAATCATCCACAGAAACCCGTCTGTGTGGCGACACAGCCCCCCTCCTGCCACTGGGATCATCCATAGAAACCCGCCTAGACGCGTTGGGGGAGCTGGTGGGAGATCGAGCCATAGGGGGGAGCCAGGACACGGCGTGCGAAGCGCTCATGCTCTGGGGGATCATTCTGCGTACAGGCGGGCTTTGGGTTGGGCTAGAATGAGCCATATTCGGGGACCGGGGGGGCACCCGAGAAGGGCTACAATGGGCGGTAGGCGGGGATCGGGGCGGGTCAGAAAGGACCTCCCCTGGCAGATAGAAGTCATGTGAATCGCTCATGCTCTGGGGGATCATTCTGCGCGCAGGCGGGCTGGGAGCTCTGCTACTGCTAGAATGGGCTGTAGGCGGGGATCGGGGCGGCTCAGAAAGCACCTCCCCTGGCAGTAGAAACCTGACCACCGGACCTGAGTGCGATGCACTCATGCTCTGGGGAATCATTCTGCGCACGGGTGGGCTGTGAGTGCCACTGCTGCTAAAATCGGCCACTGATTGCCGCCTGCTGCTGCTGCTGCTGCGCTCAACAGCAGCAACAGCGGCGGCGGCAGCAGCGGCAGCAGCAGTCGAGTGCGATGCACTCATGCTCTGAGGAATCATTCTCCGCACACTCGGGCTGGTAGTGCCGCTGCGGCTAAACTCGTCCACTGGCTGCCGCCTGCTGCTGCTGCTGCGCTCAACAGCAGCAACAGCCGCGGCGGCAGAAGGAGAAGCAGTCAAATGCGAAGCACTCATGCTTTGAGGAATCATTCTGCGCACAGGAGGGCTTGTAGTGCGGCTAGAATCGTCCACTGACTGCCGCCTGCTGCTGCTGCTGCGCTCAACAGCAGCAACGGCAGCTACAGCGGCAGCGGCAGCAGCAGCAGAAGTGGCATGTGAAGCGCTCATGCTCTGGGGAATCATTCTCCGCACAGGCAGGCTGTGGGTGCCACTAAAATCATCCACAGACCACCGCCTGCTGGGTGAGACTTGTAGCTCATGAGTAGATGGGGTGACTGGGGTGACTGGGGTGCATGGGGTGCATGGGCTGTGTGGGATGGATGGTTTGACTGGTGACTTGCTACCGGGTGACTTTCGGGGTTTACCTGACGATGTGCTTGACACACTCGAAACAACCGACTCCGCTGAAACCACTGATGCTGCTGCTGATGCCACCGAAGCTACAGAACCTACAGATGCTGCAACTGATGCTACCGATGCTTTAGATGCTCGAGAATCTGCAGAGGCTGCTGATGCTGCTGATGCTGCTGATGCAACCGATGCTCCCCTATGCAGGTGCTTCTTGGTAGTTTTCTTCTTCTCGCCACTCCCCTCCTTCATCTCGCTCTCACTGCCCTCCGTCTCACCGATCGCAGGCAGACGAGCTGCTTTCTTCTTCCCCTTCCTCACCTTCTTCCCACCAACGTCACCGCCAGCAGCAGCAGAAGCAGCACCAGCACTTGCAGCAGCGCCTGAAGCAGCAGCAGTGCTCCGTTTAGAAGGTTGCTGCTTTGGAGTGGCAGGGGAGAGCAGGGCGAAGCTGAAGGAACCGGCAGGGGAGGCGGGAGAGGAGGCGTTGCTGTGGGGTGTGCTGGTGCCGCTGGTGGGGCTGGTGAGAGTGGTGGGGGAGAGGGGTGCAGCAGGGATGGAGAGGCGCTGAGGCGTGGTTGCGAGCTCCCCTGTGGGCAGCATATGACGGATTGTCACGTTTGCTAGCAGCTCCTGCGGCGGCTGCTCCTGCTGCTCCTGCTCCTTCTTTTTCTCCTTCTCTTCCTCTTGCTCCCCCCCTTGCTGCTGCTGCCCCTTGTGATCCTCTTTGCTGCGGATCTTATTCCCCTTTTTCAAACTCTGTCTGACCCTACTTCCCCCCTCACTGTCTCCCCCTGCTTCCTGCCTCTCCTCACCCGCTTCCCCTTCTCCCTTCTTCAATCTACTCTTGCTTCTCCTCACCCGACCGCTCTTCACCACATCATCCCCACTCGTCTCCCCATCCCGGGACTCCCGCCGATGAATCTTCCTGGAAGGTGACTTGAGCAACGCCTTCTTCTCGCCTCCTTTTGCCTTGACCTTACCCTTCTTCCCTTCACCAATCCGCTTGTCCTCCACACTCCCATGCCCCACACTCCCTTCTTCCTCTGTAGTTGTTGTTGCTGTAGCTGTTGCTGCTGCTGCAGCAGCAGCTGCTTCTGCTTCTGCTTCCACTTCTGCTGCTCCATCTGCTGCTCCTCGCCTCCCTGACAGCTCCTCAGTCCGCTCAAAGAGAGGTTGGGCTGCTTGAAGCAGCACAGCAGCACCGGCCGCACTCTCGCTTATCACCACGTCTCCTGCTGCCACCGCTGCCGCCACTGCCGACCCGATTCGGAGGATAGACGGGGTATCTGTTCCTGTGGAGCTTGAGGAAGGTACATCTGAGGAAGGTACATCTGAGGCAGGTACATCTGAGGCAGGTACATCTGAGGCAGGTACATCTGAGGCAGGTACATCTGAGGCAGGTACGACTGAGGCAGGTACGTCTGAGGTAGGTACATCTGAGGCAGGTACATCTGAGGCAGGTACATCTGAGGCAGGTACATCTGAGGTAGGTACATCTGAGGCAGGTACGGCTGAGGCAGGTACGTCTGAGGTAGGTACGTCTGAGGCAGCAACAGCAGTGGCCACTACAGCTGGCAGCGATGGCTCAGCAGATACAACTGTTTCAGCCACTGACTCCCTTCCTCCGCCAACCAACTCTGCTGCTTCGCCTGCCTCTGCCACTACTGCTGCTTCACCTGTCTCTGCCACTAATGCTCCTTCTTCTGCAACTACTGCTGTTTCTGCAACTACTGCTGTTTCTGCAACTACTGCTCCTTCTGCCACTACTGCTCCTTCTGCCACTTCTGCCGCTACTGCCATTTCTAATCGTTCTGCAGCGCCTATTAATTCCGCTGTGGCCTCTGCCCTCCCATCTACCCCCTCCTTCACCATTGCACCCATCTCCACCACTCCTTCTATCCTCTCTTCTTTTTTTCCCTCCTTCGCCTCTACGCCCTCCTTCCTCTCCCTTCCCTCCTCCCCCTCCCTCTCGTCCTCGCCTCTACTCTCCCCATCTTCCTCCAAATCTTGCTCGTCCCTGTGACTTCCCTCCTCACTCTTCTCACTCTCTTCGCTCTCTTCTCCATTTTCCAATCCTTGCCTCTTCCCCACCTCACTCTCCTCCTCCTCCCCCTCCTCTCGACCCCCCTCCATCTGTGTACCCTCCAGACTCTCTCCTCCTTCCTCCTCCAATTCCACTTCCCTGACGCGATTACTGTTCTCCTCTTTCTCCTCTTTTTCCTCGTCTTCCTCCTCTTCCTCCTCTTTCTCCTCCTCTCTCTCCTCCTCCACTCTTTCACGCTCAACTTCTTCTTCACCCTTTCCTCCCTCCATCCCTGTTCGCTCCATAGCCTCTCCTTGTTCCTCCACCTCCCTTTCCCCTTCCATCTCTCGTTCCTCCACCTCTCTTCCCCCTTCCACCTCTCTTTCCCCTTCCACCTCTCTTTCCCCTTCCACCTCTCTTTCCCCTTCCACCTCTCTTTCCCCTTCCACCTCTCTTTCCCCTTCCACCTCTCTTTCCCCTTCCACCTCTCTTTCCCCTTCCACCTCTCTTTCCCCTTCCACCTCTCTTTCCCCTTCCACCTCTCTTTCCCCTTCCACCTCTCTTTCCCCTTCCACCTCGCTTTCCCCTTCCACCTCTCTTTCCCCTTCCACCTCTCTTTCCCCTTCCACCTCTCGTTCCTCCACCTCCCTTTCTCCTTCCACCTCTCTTTTCTCATCCACCTTTGCACCCTCCACTACCTCTCTGGCTTCCGGAACAATCTCCACCTCCCCAAAGCAGCTTCCCTCCCCCGCCTCACTCCTAGTCTCCTCCTCCTCCCCTTCACTCCTAGTCTCCTCCTCCTCCCCTTCACTCCTAGTCTCCTCCTCCTCCCCTTCACTCCTAGTCTCCTCCTCCTCCGCTTCACTCCCCATCTCCTCCTCTCCTTTCTTCATCCCTGTTTTCGCCTCAGCCTCTCCTCCTCCCTCCTCGCTTTCCCCTTCCACCGCTCTCTCCTCATCCACCTTTGTACCCTCCTCTGCCTCTCTCATTTCCTGTACCATTCCCACCTCCCCAACGCAGCTTCCCTCCTCCGCCTCTCTCTCCTCCTCCTCCCCTTCACTCCTAAACTCCTCCTCCTCCCTTTCACTCCTAGTCTCCTCCTCCTCCCCTTCACTCCTAGTCTCCTCCTCCCCTTCACTCCTAGTCTCCTCCTCCCTTTCACTCCTAGTCTCCTCCTCCTCCGCTTCACTCCCCATCTCCTCCTCCTCTCCTTCCTTCATTCCTGTTTTCGCCTCAGCCTCTCCTCCTCCCTCCTCGCTTTCCCCTTCCACCGCTCTCTCCTCATCCACCTTTGTACCCTCCTCTGCCTCTCTCGCAACCTGCACCATTCCCACCTCCCCAACGCAGCTTCCCTCCTCCGCCTCTCTCTCCTTCTCCTCCCCTTCACTCCTAAACTCCTCCTCCTCCCTTTCACTCCTAGTCTCCTCCTCCTCCCCTTCACTCCTAGTCTCCTCCTCCCCTTCACTCCTAGTCTCCTCCTCCCTTTCACTCCTAGTCTCCTCCTCCTCCGCTTCACTCCCCATCTCCTCCTCCTCTCCTTCCTTCATTCCTGTTTTCGCCTCAGCCTCTCCTCCTCCCTCCTCGCTTTCCCCTTCCACAGCTCTCTCCTCATCCACCTTTGTACCCTCCTCTGCCTCTCTCGCAACCTGCCCCATTCCTGCATCCCCAAAGCAGCTTCCCTCCCCCGCCTCACTCTGCTGCTCCTCCCCTTCACTCCTAACCTCCTCCTCCTCCCCTTCACTCCTAACCTCCTCCTCCTCCCTTTCACTCCTAACCTCCTCCTTCTCCCCTTCACTCTCCATCTCCTCCAGAAATCCTTCCTTCATCCCTGTTTTCTCCTCCGCCTCTCTTTCTTCCTCGGCCTCGCTCCCCTCTTCTCCATCTATCCCCCAATCCACCACTCTCCTCTCCTCCCCTTCACTCTCCTCCCCTTCACTCTCCTCCCCCTCGTCTCTCCCCTCCTCCTCCTCTCTCCCCTCCCCCCCTCTCCCCTCCTCTCTTTCCTCCCTCCCTCTCCCCTCCTCTCTCTCTTTCCCCTCCTCACTCAAACCCCCTTCCACATCCATCTCCTCTTCATCCACTGACGGAAGATCAGAACCAAACGATGATCTCGACCGTCGATCGCGCCGCCTACTATCAAGCTTCTTCAGAGCACCCCATCCAGCAACTACCCTTCCCTGTCCTCCTCCCCCTTCCAGCCCCTTCTCTAACCCCTCTCCCTCATCCGATTCTCCTCCCTCTCCTAATCCTCCTCCCTCTCCCAATCCTCCTCCCTCATCCCACCCGTTTCCCAGTTCTAATGCCCCTCCTTTTACCACACGTCCACCAATAACCTCGCCTTCCTCCAAACCACCAAGCACAACTGGGTTCCGTGAACATTCACCTGAAGTGTCACCTGAATCTTCATCTGAATCATCACGCATCAGCTGCTCCTCTTCCTCGTAATCCCCCCACCAGAAGGCCTCGTTATTGCCATCCTCGTTATTGCCATCCTTGTTATTGTCATCCTCGTTAGTGACACTCTGACTCTCATCCTCCTCCTCATCATCATCGTCGTATCTCCGTACCACCTTTGCAAACCCAACAGCACCAATCTCCACCTCCCCCAGATAGGACCTCCCCAGGCTTTGAAGCGCCCCAGGCCCAGGGTCAGCTCCCACCTCCCCTGAATAAGACCTCCCCAGGTCACCAGAACGAGATCCCCCAGCCTCCCTTGACCCCACCCCTGGAGCCAATCCAACCTCCCTCACTCCCTTGTGCTCCTCACTCTTGCTTCTCACCACTCTCCCCTCCTCACTGCCCATGGGAACAAGCACTGTCTCTTCGGCAGGCGCTGACTTCCAATGGAAAATACTGGGCGGATTGTGAAAGAACCCGGGAGAAATAGGGCTAGTTGCCCCAAAGGTCTCCCTTCGCTGAAGGCCCTTGCTGCTCAGACCCAGAACAGCTCCTCTCACCTTACCCAGTGTTTGCATAAACCTGTTCCCTCCCTTTCCACCTCCTCCCCCTCCTCCTCCCGCCTCTACTACTACCTCTCCTCTCCCTCCTCCCTCAACGTCCCACCCCCAGTTAGAATCATCACCACTCTTCGTCACACGTCGGGGTAGTTGGCCCATGCTGTGGGTCCGCCTAGACTCACCAGAGGCTATCCCCGATGCTGCTGCTGCCGCTGCCCCTGCCACAGATGCAACACTCCTCGCCCCTCCCCTGATCCCCTCCTTCACATTCAACGCCCCTTCCTTAATCCCCTCCTTCACATTGATCGCCTTTTCCTTAATCCCCTCTCTGACATTTGACGCGCCTCCCTTAATCCCTCCTTTTACGCTGAACGCCCCTTCCTTAATCCCCTCCCTAACACTCTGCGCCCCTTCTTTAATACCTTCCTTAACATTCATCGCCTTTTCTTTAATCCCCTCTTTAACATTCATCGCCCCTCCCTTAATCCCCTCCTTTACATTCAACGCCCCTTCTTTGATCCCCTCCCTGACATTCATCGCCCCACCCTTGATCCCCCCTGCCACAGTTAAAGCCCCACTGGCGATCCCGCCTGCTGCCGCTGCCAGGGCTTGCCGTATTCTCACCTTCCTACTCTCCTCCTCCTCCTCGCCCCCTAACCCGGGAATCACCCACAGCAGCATCATGGCCTCTTCCCTTGGTGATAGAACCTCACCCTCCTTCTTCCCTTCTTCCTCCCCTTCATCCTCCTCATCTCCATCACCCTCCAAGCCGCCTTGATCACTCGTCCTGTCACCCTCCTCCTCCTCCTCCTCCTCCTCCTCCTCCTCCTCCTCCTCCTCCTCCTCCTCTCCTCCTTTACTTCCCACACTCTTGCTGTCGAAGCTGTTGTCTTCAGACGGGCGACGTCGGGTGGCATTTAGCCGGGAGAGCATGCGCGGCGGTTTGGCCGGCATCAGCACCGGATTCAACCCCACAGCACCACGCCCATCCACCTCATCACCCTGGTCTGCTCTGCCCCCAACCACCTCCACGCCGCCAGCAGCAGCACCGTTCTGCTCCCTGCTCTCTGCTCGCTCCTCTCTGCTTCCTGACTGCTCATTGCTGCCCTCTGCACGCTGCTGCTCTAATAACCCCTCTCGCCTCTCCTCCTCCTCCCTCTGCACCTCCAGCTGCTGCTCTAGCTTCTCCCACACCAGCTTACTCCTCTCCATCTCCCCACCACCGCCCTCTCCCGCTCCCAACCCCTCTGCACCGCATTCGTTCACCTCCGCCATCCTCCCCTCCTCAACCCCCTTCTCCTCCTCTTCATCCCCGTCCCGCTCTCTCTCTTCCACACCCACCTTCCTCTCCTCCTTTCTCACACTCACCCTTCCCTCCGGCCTCAGAATGAGCCCTCTGATTGACAGCTCTCTACGCTCAAACCTTGACAGCTCAGCGCATTTTGTAAGAAGCAGGTTCGCACGAGCAGGCAGCGAGGGTTCCGGTGATAAGTGTGGCTCAAAGAGAAACTGGAACACCTGGGGAAGCACCTGCGGACGCACCTGAGAAAAAGCACCTGGCGAATCACCTGGAGAAGCACCTGGAAACTCACCTGAGGCATCTGAGGGGGTCCCAGGCGAGGGGAAGTGAGGAGGGAGATCTGGGTGGCTCCTGTTGAGAGTGGATTGCGCACTCACACTGCTCCTGAGGGACCTCGAACCGAGACGAGACTTACCAGGCGCTTCAAAGGGCGCCTTTGGATGAAGCCTGTTGAGAGACTGTGCACTCGCGCTGCGGTGAAGCCCCGGTCTCGGTGGCTTGCCTTGTAAGTGCCGCACCTGCTGCCGCACCTGCTGCTGCACCTGCTGCTGCACCTGCTGCTGCACCGGTTGCTGATCCTGCTCCCGATCCTTCTGCTGATCTGACTGCTGATCCGTTAGATTTTCATCACAACTCCGCGGCTTCTCCTGCTGCTGCTCGTTCAGCTGTCGTGACAGGAGCTTCTTTCCCGTCACTTGCTCGGCCCACTCCTGCCACCGCTCCTTGTGGTGCTTCTTACCACTCAGAGACACAGACGCAGCAGAAGCAGAAGAAGCAGAAGCAGCAGACGCAGCAGACACAGCAGCGGATTTGAGGGATGACAAGCAGCGGATGCGGGCAATCTCTCGCTTGAACTGAGGGAAGGAGGTGGTGAGATCAACTGCATGTCGCTGCGAGGACGGGAGAGAGGAGAGGAGAGAGGAGGGGAGAGAGGAGGACGAAGAGGAGAGGGAGGATGTGGAGGGTTCGGCAGGGAGGGAAGAGGAGCGAGGGGAGCAGTGAGGCACGAGAGTTGAGTCACGGTTGGAGCGCGAGCTGAGCTTCTGCAGTGTCGGCTTCATCGGCTGTGACTGCTGCACGTGCTGCAACTGCTCCTCCTGTGCCTGCTGCTCCTGTGCCTCCTGCTGCTCCTGCTGCTCCTGCTCCTTCTGCAAAACAATTGAGTCACGGTTGGAGCGGGAGCTCAGCTTTTGCAGTTTCGGCTTCACTGGCTGCACCTGCTGCACCTGCTGCTCCTGCGCCTCCTGCTGCTCCTGCGCCTTCTGCTCCTTGTGCTGGGTCTGCTGCTGAAACACGGAATCCCCGCTACCTGTGGGGTGTTTTTGAGAATTCTCAAAAACACCCTGCTGAAACACGGAATCCCTGCTACCTGTGGCCCTGTCCAGTGACGCCCCAGAGGACTTGGAGCGATGGAGAGGAGGAGCATCATCCTTTGTCGTGCTGATATCGTGCGCGCTAACATCACTCCTCCAGTCACTGCTGCTGCTGCTCTTGCTCTTGCGGAGGAGCTGGGAAGGCTTGCTCTCGCGGAACCGACTTGAGTTGCTTCTGCTAGAGAATCCGCTACGCGTGGCGCTGCCAATCCGCTTCAAGTAGTTGGGGTTATTCGGGTTACTAGGGTTACTGAAGTTACTGAGGTAATTAGTGTTACTAAAGTTACTTAGGTTACTAGGGTTACGAGGATAACGGGTGTTGCTGCTGCTGGCAGTGGTGGCAGCAGGGCGAATGCTACTGGCTGGGGGATCTACAAAGACGAAACGGTGCACCATTGAGAGGCTGCCACGTGGAAGATAGGCTGCTGGAGAGCTGCCACGTGGCTGTGCAGTGAATGAGGAGCGCAGGGGAGAGGAGGTTGCTGACGCAGCACCTGAGACGGCTCCTAAGGCCGCGACTGAATAGTCACCTGAAGAGGCACCTGAGCGGGCACCTGAGGCAGCAGCTAGGGCAGCATCTGCAGCAGCGTCCAAGGGAGAGGGGCATCCCGCTGAGGCCCATTGCCTCAAGTACTGCCCTCTCCTGCCCAACCCACGACTCGACAGCCACCTTTGCTTCTGCTGCTGCTGCTGCTGCTCTTGCTCCTGCTGTTGCTGCTGCTGCTGCTGCTGCTGCTGCTGCTGCTGCTGCTCCTGAAACATTTCATGCAGTCGCTTCCGTGAACTAGAGCGACCGCTTGAACTGTATCCACTGCGACCGGTTTGGGATGCAAAACGCAACTGTGAAGCATGCAGTAAGGAGTACGAAGCCGAACCAGCAGCAGAGTTCCTACCCTCGGACTTGGCCCTTTGCAGCATCCGCGGACGCTTCTGCTGCGGGGAAAGGGAATCCGGAACACTATCCAGCGACGCTGACGTGGCACTGCCAGCTGGACTCTCCGACCATGCTGCTCCCCCTGTAAAGGAGGCTGACCTGGCAACAAGCCTAGATTCGCCACCCACAGATGTAGACACATGCAATGCCGCTGCCAGCACTCCCTCACCCCCGCCCTCTAGAGTGCGTTGCTCCAAGGCTGCTCGGATGCGGAGGGACAAGGGCACCTGGTAGGCCGGCAAAGCCCGCCGGCTGTGCTGCCCCTCCGCTGCTTTGCTGGTAAAAGCAGCAGCGCTGGTAGCTGCAGCACTATCAGTAATCGCGTTCTCGCTGGTTACGACAACAAGGCTGGTTACCGCGTTACCGCTGCTGCTGCTCACTGAGCGTCGCATGGCTGCACTTCCGGGAGCACTAACCTCTTCCTCCTCCTCACCCATACTGCTGCCGGGAACGGCAAGCACCGAAACAGCATTGCTGGAAAATGCTCGTGAGATTCGTCCCCTGTGCTGCCTCTGGTGCTGCGTCTGGTGCTGCCCCTCGTGCTGCCCCTCGTGCTGCCCCTCGTGCTGCCCCTCGTGCTGCCCCTCGTGTTTCTGAGAGATCTTAAACACACCCTCCCCCTCCAACCCCTCCGACCGTCCTCCTTCCTCCTCCAACCCCTCACCCTCCCTCTTCCCTTCTTCACCCTCCTCCGCCAACTCCCACTCCTCATCCTCCTCTCCAACTCCCTCCTCCATTCCTCCCCATCCGTCATCACCACTTCCAACCTCCCATTCCTCTCCGCCTAAATCCCGTCCGCTCTCTCCCTCCACACCCACCCCACTCTCGTCCAACCCAGCAACAAACCTGTCAACGAACGACGCGTTGTGCCCAAACGTCTCCGTCCTAGGAGCCTGCCTGCAGCATCTGCTGCCCACACTCGCACCCCGCAATGCACCACTCCCACCCACACTCTCTACTCTCGACCCTATTCCTGACGCAGCTGCTGCTGCTGCCGACGCCACGTTCCTTGCCCCTCCCTTTATCCCCTGCCTCACATTCATCGCTCCCGAAGCTACGTTCTTAGCTCCAGACCGAACCCCTGCCGCAGCTGCGGCAGCAGCCCCGGCAATGGCAAGGCCGGAGGCATGGAAACGGCGGGAGTGGGAGCTTCTTATCCCTCTCTTGCCTTCTCCCCCTTCCTCACACTCCTCCTCCTCCCACAACGCCAGCAGTGCATCTTCAGGGGAAAGAGCGGCAAGGCTAGTCACCCTGAAGAAGGGTATTTCCTCAGACAAATTTCTGGAATGCCCCTTGGGCCCATGCTGGAAGCTTGCACTGCCTTGGAGATTCAAACTCCCTCTTCCCCCGGCATCGCTCCTGCTGCTCACTCCGCCAGTGGTTAGGCTGCTGGGCAGCACCCTAACTGCTGCTGAGGTGCAGTCCTCTTGAGCGACTGAACAAGCGGTTGAGTGCGGTTGAGAGGCAAGAATAGAACCAGAATGAGGCTCACCACCAGAGGTTGCGGCTACTGCAGTGGCACTTCGAGCGAGCGTGTTTGGCTTCACAGTCGAGGAGGCTAACTGACCTGGTGCAGTTAGGGCAGCTGTCGCGGTTTCGCTTCTAGCAATCTTAGCACCAATCCCTCTCAGCAGGCTGGTTCGAGGCTCCTTACGTTGGAGTGAATCTCCTCTGCTGGTATCCCCTCTAGGGAGTGATTTGGTACTGGTACTACTAGCACCGAGTTCGCCTGAGTAATCTACAGCAAAAAAGTCGGGATTGAAAGGGTCTGTATGGGCTGGGCTGGAGTGGAAGGAAGCTGCATCGAAGGACCACCTTGGCAGGGAGTCAGAATCAAAGGAACCTTCCAGGAAGGAGTCTGCATCAAAGGAACCTTCCGTGAAGGCGCCGGGAGCATCCCTCTCCTTCCCACTCCTGCTCCTCCTACCAAGGCTGGCGGGCACGACAGGGCTGGAGCTGCTGTTGCTGATGATTCGGCTGTCGTGGGTCTTACTCCTTGTAACGGATCTGCCTGTAAAGGAACCAGGGCTGGTTCGAACGGCGCTCGTGGCCCCATCTCTGCTCCTGCTCTTACCCAAGCCGTTACTCTGTAACCCTCTCTCCTCGCCCTCCTCACCCTCCTCCCCCTCTCTGTCCGCAACATTATGCACCCGTTGCATCCGGCCAGAGCCTGACCCAGCCTGCCCAGCTGCCACCTCTTCTGCCAAATGCTTGATCTCAGATGCCACCTCTTCTGCCAAATGCTTGATCTCAGATGCCACCTCTTTGATCCCCCCTGCTGCCACCGCTGCTGCTGCTGCTGCAGTGCCTGCCACGCTCCTTGCACCCTCCTTGATTCCTCCCGCTGCTGCAAATGCTACGCTCTGTGCCCCTCCTGCTACTGTCAGCGCACCCCCGCTCACACCCCCTGCCACTGTCAAAGCACCCTCTTTCACACCACCTGCCACTGTCAAAGCACCCTCTTTCACACCCCCTGCCACTGTTAAAGCACCCTCTTTCACACCACCTGCCACTGTTAAAGCCCCCCCTTTCACTCCCCCTGCCACTGTTAGAGCTCCCTCTTTCACACCTCCTGCCACTGTCAAAGCACCCTCTTTCACACCACCTGCCACTGTCAAGGCTCCCTCTTTCAACCCTCCAGCAACAGTCATAGCCCCTCCTTTCACCCCTCCTGCAACCGTCAATGCTCCATCTCTCACCCCCCCTGCCACCGTCCTCACTCCGCCCTTAATCCCCCCTGCAACGTTCCTCGCCCCTCCCTTTATCCCCCCAGCAACAGCCACCGCACCAGTAGCCACCCCCCCTGCTGCCACCGCAGCAAGGCTCCTCGCCCCCTGCCCCACCTCCCCTGCTGCAGCAGCCACGTTCCTAGCAGCAGCGCCGGGGAGGCTGGTAACCGCAGAGACGTTACGCGCTCCTGATGCGATCCCAGCCGCTGCTTTTATCGCAGCAGAGGAGATACCGCTTCTGACGTTCCCCACTGCAGCAAAGGAGCGTGCTCGCAGCCCTGACATACCGCCACTGCTGCTGGCGCTGCTGCTACTGATGGCGCTGCTGCTGTTGATGGCACTGCTGCTGGCGGCGGTATTGACAGAGAGCGTGGCTGGGAACGCGGGAGGAGCAGCCAAGGCAGAAGAAGGATTGTGTACATCACCATCAAAAGTACTGCCACTATCGCCCTGCATCAATGTACCCGCCACTCCCCCTGTGGTGGACCCATAGTGCTCCTCCTGACTGCCTGTCTCACCATGCCGAGCCCCTGCCTTGCTGCCTCCGAGTAGCAGCTTGCTTCTGCTCCTCAGCCCGCGAAACAAACTACCGCTGCTCTTACTCCTCATTCCGCTGCTCTTGCTCTTGACTTCACCCTTGCATGTGCTCGGATTTCCCTCCTCTCCCCCATCCTCCAGGCTCTCTGCTTGGGGTCCCTCTATCGTGCCATCATCATCGTCACCATCAGACAAGTCAATGACCAGCTTATTAGCTGTTACGGTAACCGAATCATCACCCGTTACAGTAACCAAATCATCGACCATTACGGTAACGGCTTCACCGGTCGTGACAGCAGCTGCCTTTTCAGCTGTTAAAGTGGCTGCGCTGAAAGCCCCCTCCTCCTCCTCTTCCTCCTCCATCTCCATCACCTCATCCCAATAATCTGCCCCCCCTCTCTCCTCCTCCTCTTCAGCCTTAACCCGTTCGTCCAACCTACAACCCTCATCCTCCTCCTCATCATCCTCCTCCTCCGCCTTCTCCTTTCGCCCCTCTTCCTTCTCATCCTGTTCTTCCTCATCCTCCACTGCCTTCCCCATCCCCACATCCACACCCCAACCACCTGCTCGGACTGACGTTGTCTCCTCTGCTTTATTCGTCTCTTCTTCCTTCGCCTCCTCCTTTCCCCCCTCTTCCTCCTCATCCTGTTCTTCCTCATCCTCCGCTGCCTCCCCCATCCCCACATCCACAGCCCAACCGCCTGCGCGGACGGACTCTGCCTCCTCCGCTTTATAGGCCTCTTCCTCCTTCGCCTCCTCCTCCTCGTCCTCTGCTTCCTCCTCCTTGTCCTCTGCTTCCTCTTCCTCTTCCTCCTCCTCTTCCTCTTCCTCATCCTCCTCCGCCGCTTCCTCCTCTCCCTTCCCCCCCTCCTCCTCATCCACCACTTCTGCCTCCCATCCCTCTTCCCTCCCGTCCTCCCTGACTCTAAACGCCGAACCTCCCCCGTTACCACTCTCCACAACATCCGCCACTATAACAGAGCCCTCGTCACTATCACTTCCTTCGCAATCATCTATGTTCCCCTCTCCCCACTGCTCGTCCCCCACGGATCCATACACAGGCGTGGCCATGGGAACTGCAGCATCATCAGGGGACAGTTGGTCCCATTCAGTCCCTCCTGCTGCCTCTGCTGCTTCCACTCTCAACAGCTCTCTCCCCACACCCCGCCCATTCTCCATTTGAGTGGCCAGTACACGCCCATTATGTGACCTTGGAGTGGACTGAGCAGCCACCCCTGCTGGCGCTCCTGCATGCTCTCCTGCCAGCTCCCCTGCTGGGGCTCTCAACTCTTCCTCCCACCCCTCTGGCCTCTCAGCATCCTGAGCAGTGAGTGAACGCCCACTCTGTGACTCCTCCAAGTAGCCATTTACCTCCATAGCCCCGCCACTCACCACCATCGCCTCTCCATCTACCACCATACTCCTCCCATGCACTACCGCCGCACCCACGCCATCGCCACTCCTCTCCTTGCCAACACCTACCAACTCACCCGCATGCCACTCAGCCACTACAGCTCCATCACCACTCATCAGTCGGTCAGTGCCACCTACGCCTCTGTCAGAATCCGTCAGAATGTCATCAGAGTCAGTCAGCAGTCTGTCAGTCAACCGCCCAGCCCCTGAAACGAGCCCATTTTCTGGTTGGAAACGCTCCACTTCCTCTTGATGCTGCTGATACTGATGATGCCTCTCACACGGTTGCTGCTGCTGCTGCTGCTGCTGCTGCTGCTGCTGCTGCTGCTGCTGCTGCTGCTGCTGCTGCTGCTGCTGTTGCATCCAAGTCTGTGGCTGTTGTTGTTGCAGCCCCACTGAGTGAATAGAGCCCCGACTGACGGCATGTGCACTGCTCTGGCTGCGCCTGTGACCTGCACTCTGTACAGACTGACTGCTCTCGCCCTCACTCACAGTCCCATGCTGCTGCTGCTGCTGCTGCCATCGCCTCAAATGCTGCTGCGGTTGCGGTCTAGGCGACTCATCGAAGCTATGCCTGTCGACATGAGCACTGCTCTGACTGCGCCTGTGCCTCGCGCTCTCTGCCTGCTGACTTCCCCCCCTCACACTCTCCCTCTCAGGACCGTCCTGCTGCATTTGCTGTCGCCTCAAACCTTGCTGCCGCTGCCACTGCTGCTGCTGCTGCTGCTGCTGTGGCCTAGGCGCCTCATCCAAGCTACGCCTGACGGCATGAGCACTGCTCTGACTGCGTCTGTGCCTTGCTCTCTCTGCCTGCTCACCGCTCTCTGCATGCTCACTGCTCGCCCTCACAGCACCATCCTGCTGCACCTGCCGTCGACTCATGCCTTGCTGCTGTTGTGGCTGCGGTCTAGGCGACTTATCCAAGCTGTGCCTGACAGCATGAGCACTGCTCTGACTGCGCCTGTGCCTTGCACTCTCTGTCAGTTGACAACCACTCTCGCCCACACTCTCCCTCTCCGGACCATCCTGCGGCATTTGCTGTTGCCTCAAACCTTGTTGCTGCTGCTGCTGCTGCTGCTGCAGCGGACTTACAGCAATATTCGAAGCCTGGCTCGTGGCATAAGCACTGCTCTGACTGCGCCTGTGCCCTGCACCCTTCACTGACCGTTTGCTCTCACGCTCACCCCCAAGCCGACAAAAGCCATCCTCACGCCGCTGGTGCTCTGTTGATTGCTCTCGCTGCTGTTGTTCCGTGTGTTTTGTCGGGTAAGCCAAGCTTTGACTTGAGTCCTGCGCGCTGCTCTGACTGCGCCTGTGCACGGAGCTTCTACTACCAGGGCGATTGCTCTCACTCGCGCTCGCAAATTCGTGACGGCTGTACTGAGGCTGTTGCTGCTGCTTCGATTGCTGCGGCGGCGGCAGCTGCTGCTGCCTCGCCTGCTGCTGGCGCAAGCTACCCGCACCAACGCCAGCACCAGCACCATTACCAGCAGGAGTAGGAGCAGCAATAGCAGCAGCGGTAGCAGCAGCGACGGCAGCAGCTTCGGTCGCAGGAGCAGTAGCTGCCACAGATTGTGACCGGTTAAACCTTGAAAACTGTGACACGGCCGAACCTGTGGGCGTGTGGGAGGGGAGGGGGGGTCTGGGGGAAGGGAGAGAGGACCTTTCGTGTGTACCAGTGGTGCTGGAACGGGAAAATTGAGACGCGGGAGGAGGATGACAGCCTAAGGGAGACTTCTGAGTCGACTCAAAAGTACCAGTAGTGATGGCGCGAGAGAAGAGAGAGGCGGGAGGAGGATAAAAGCCTGAGGGCGACTCGTGAGTCGACTCAAAAGTCATGGGCGAGGACCTTTCGTGTGTACTGCTGGCGCGGGAAAAGAGAGAGGCGGGAGGAGGATAAGAGCCTGAGGGTGGCGACGAAGCTTCGGAATGATTGAACGATTTTGCCCGCAAGTACATGTTAGGGTTAGGGCTAGGACGAGAGCCTGTACTAGCCTGTCTTGACACGGGAGCGACCCTTATGCCATTTCCAGAAGGCGACAAAACCTCACTGGAATCATCCTCGTTGTAAGGAGACGTTTTGAATTCACCCTTCTTGAACTCCATCCACGCGTTAGGGTTTTTTCGCCAATGGTCCGCTTCGGGCCGCGACAAATCATGATCGTCCATCATGGCTGCCGCATCAACAGTCGTGAGAGCTCCATCTAATTCTGCTGCACCAGATGATCCTCTATTCACTGAAGCTCCACCCCAGCGCTTCGCCGCTTCTGTCTCCGTTATAGGCCTGCACAAAACAACGCTTAGGTCGACGCTACGGGTCCGGCTGTGAGTCGTAGCAGAACCACTTACCTTTGCAGCGCTCCTTCCCATTTGACTACTCGAAATTTGAACATCATGGCCGGATTCCCTCCGCTCATCTGAAGCGCGCCCGTTGGGGTAATCAATATTAGCCGTTGATCTCTCAGCTGCCATGCCGTTTCGATGACCGCGACTAAGCATATCGTCGGCAGCAGTATATCTACCGCGAGGTCCCGTTGGCAGCGCTTCATTGGCTACGCTACTCCGGTCAGCAATGCTCGGACCAATCGCGCTATGATGTTTCGTGTTCGATCCGCCAGCTACCAAGACAGAGCGGTTGGTACTGCTGCTGCTGGCGCTTCGTCTCAGTGACCGTCGCGCGACGTCGTTGTGACGAGGCGCCGACATTGTGCGGTTTTGGCGGGGCTTCGAGTTACTGACAGGGTCGGGCTGTGGGGGAGACATGCGCTCTGAGTAACTAATCTCGAAATTAGGCGAACGTGCATGAGCACACGCAGCAGCGCGATTGTCAGAAGCGATCGATGCTTTATTTCCACCTGTCACGTTTCATGATGCGAAAAAAAAAAATCCACTGCTAAGCTGGCCTACCTACATAGAGCAAGTTACCGAAGGTGTTAGACCTACGTCAGGCATACAAGCCTAGAGTCAAGGAAGAAAAATGTTGCTCAAGCACAGGGAATGGGGAGATGAAATGAACTTCCAGGACGAGAGATGCAAGGGCTCGGGCTTGCTCGCCAGGAATATATGGACCCCCAGACGGGGAACGTGCATTTCCGTGGCGACGTAGACAAGCGCACGCGAAATAGACAAGCGCCTGGCAAATTTTTGGATTTGCCCGACGAAAAAAGACAGGACGCAGACGGGCGAAAAAAAAGCCCACATGTAGTTATAAATATATGGTTCACGAAATGTCGCCAACATTTCGCACTGATTTCGTTGGGAGTGAACAGTGACGCAGCGACGGACGCCACGAGGGGGTCGCGCAGAGATGTCGCCAGTAACATGCAGAACAGTCAAGATGAGCAAATTTTGGTGCTTACATACAGAATAAATCGCACAATAAGGATCTGAAACAAGATGAAATGGTGTCCTCAGAATTGGCTAAGTGTTGGGAATTTTCTAGCTGGGTGTTTTTTTAAATAATACGATAGATTTAGCCATCCCATACCTTACTACAATGTTGAGATTTGTTAAAAACACTTTTAAGGGTGGTTTGTGGCTCCAAATGCCTGCCTTCTGGCGTGTCTTTAAACGCTGATAACTGATAGGTTAGTGATGCAAATCATCTTCTGAATGGCTCTTGCATCTTCCCAATACATCCTCTACAGTTTAGGATTGAAAAAAAAAAAATTGATGAAATTGACCAAAACCAACATATCAAGCTACTCCAATGAAGCTCCTAGCACATGACAACTCATTCTCTAGCTATCATGGACAGTTGTAAATTTCAAGCACGTTATTTTTTGTTTCCGAAGCTTGTGGTACTGCTATCATCTACTATGTTGGCTGTCTGCCCACTCACGTTTGGTTGCCTCAGCAACCTGCACCATTTTGTGTCACAATCGCCTTCCTAACCATTTTCCTTTGCAGACCATTGTCCTGTGGTCCAAATGATCTGAGTTTTTTAGGGGAGTATCATTCCAACATTGACAGATCTTGTACCAATTTTCAGATCAATCCAAAAACCAGAGATAGGTTGTTGATGATGATTTCTGCCGTGGTGACCTTGACTTAGTCTAAGTGTTAAGGCAGAAACCAAACATTAGAGCTGAGCTCTGAAACTCATAGGGGAGTCTCATCACACTAATTCTAGATCCCCCTATCATTTTCAAGGCAATCCAATAAGGTATGATAGGCCTTTCATGCTTTGTCGTGAAAGATGAGCATGAAAATTCTGCAGAATTGCCTGTGTTTGAGTTCTGATGCCAAACACAAACCAAACCTTGGAATTAAGGTCTGAAACTCATAGGGGAGTCTCATCACACTAATAATAGATCCCCCTCCCATTTTCAAGTCAATACAATAAGGTTTGATAGGCCTTTCATGCTTTGTTCTGCAAGATAAACCGCAAATCTCTGCAGAATTGCCTGCGTTTGGGTCATTATGCGAAACACAAACCAAACATTGGAATTAAGCTCTGAAACTCATAGGGGAGTCTCATCACACTAATTCAAGATCCCCCTCTCATTTTCAAGTCAATCCAATAAGGTTTGATAGGCCTTTCATGCTTTGTTGTGAAAGATAAGCATGAAATCACAGCAGAATTGCCAGCGTTTGGTCTATGATGCAAAACACAAACCAAACCTTGGAATTAAGGTCTGAAACTCATAGGGGACTCTCATCACACTAATAATAGATCTCCCTCCCATTTTCAAGTCAATCCAATAAGGTTTGATAGGCCTTTCATGCTTTGTTCTGCAAGATAAACGGCAAATCTCTGCAGAATTGCCTGCGTTTGGGTCATTATGCGAAACACAAACCAAACATTGGAATTAAGCTCTGAAACTCATAGGGGAGTCTCATCACACTAATTAAAGATCCCCCTCTCATTTTCAAGTCAATCCAATAAGGTTTGATAGGCCTTTCATGCTTTGTTGTGAAAGATAAGCATGAAATCTCAGCAGAATTGCCAGCGTTTGGGTTATGATGCAAAACACAAACCAAACCTTGGAATTAAGGTCTGAAACTCATAGGGGACTCTCATCACACTAATAATAGACCCCCCTCCTATTTTCAAGTCAATCCAATAAGGTTTGATAGGCCTTTCATGCTTTGTCGTGGAAGATAAGCCTGAAATCTCAGCAGAATGGCCAGCGTTTGGGTTATGATGCAAAACACAAACCAAACCTTGGAATTAAGGTCTGAAACTCATAGGGGACTCTGATCACACTAATAATAGATTTCCCTCCCATTTTCAAGTCAATCCAATAAGGTTTGATAGGCCTTTCATGCTTTGTTCTGCAAGATAAGCCTCAAATCTCTGCAGAATTGCCTGCGTTTGGGTCATGATGCGAAATGTCAAACTCATATGCTATAGTCTGTGTAGGCTGTAGTGGGGTAGACAATATGGGGTACAACACTTTTAGGTTTTCCTACTTGTACCCACCTGCTTGCTAGTTCATCCATTCCTCATTCTTCACATGGTATAGAGCAGGTTTCCTCGTGGGAACGCTTCTCAGGGCCCACCACCTAACTCGATCTTTTTTTTCCTGCCCGAGGCGTGCCCCGTAGGCCGCCCTCCCGTCGCGCCCTCCTAGAGGCCCCTCGCGCCACCCTTAGCGGCCCCGTCGCCGTCCTTAGCGACCCCGTCGCCGCCCCTCTAGGCCCCTCGCGGCCCCTTCACGGCCCCGTCGCCG